AAAATAAAAGTATTTGTTCAAATAGCAATCTGAAATTTTACATAGCAGACGGATAAGTGGTGCAAAGCTGTATTTTAATCAGTAGGCTTGTCTTGCTAATTAGGCTTTATTTCATATAATCTGATTAGTGATGCAGAATACTACAGAAAGCTCTAAACAACTCAAACTCTAAGTATACCCTTTCATGTAAAGTCTGCACAAAATACTCTTGAACTACATATGGAAAATCCCGTGCCTCACACATTTGCCTACACAAATGTGAAGGTAATCTAAATATCTGCTGTCTTTCTTTGTCTTGTGTTGAAGCGAAAACGACACAAGCAAAGCTGCAGGTCAACCAGGGCAGAACTCTAGTGAAGACAGAGCTACTGCGATCCTCACTGGGCTCATTGGTAGTCTGACAGCAGCCATTGAAAGCACTTGTGATTACTTCCCCGTAATCTATGGTCTTATCTGAGGGGCCAGAGGTCAGTTAACTCCTGTTTCTCTCTCAGTTTCTATCCGTTTCACTCTTCGCTCCTTTCAAAGCTCTCTTCTTTTTTTCTCATTTGAACTCAAACAGTGGCAAGAGGACGGTCAAAGCGGTCTGTTAGCTCAAGATCACTTCATCACACAATTGCTCAAACAGTGGGATAACTTCATACAAGAGGCTCCTCTTGGATTCTGTTACTTTGAAAAGACCAGGAGAATCTCAAAGACTGACATCAAAGACTATGCAAAGGTTAGTATCCTGAACTGTATTTTAAGGATTTATGGAAAGTGCCTACTTTCAAAAGTAAGATGTCTGAAGTTGCTGTACTCAAGATTTATATTACATATTGAATCATTTAAGACATCAGCCTTACTGTGGGTTCACAGGGGGCAATAGATGAACAGTATCGGAAAGTCATGAACCCAAGAAATGAAGCCTTATTAGAACGGTCTCAGTGGATAGCTGTCCGAAAGGCATTCTTAAGGAAGGGAAACAAACAGAAAAGTTTGACAAATGACATTTTTGGTTCAAATCATTATCAATATGGAGGTCAGAAGAGCGGTACAACAGTGAGTGTCATCTGTAAAGGAGGCTCTGTCATGGCTTGGTGCTGACATTTAAGCCAGCTGTGTTGGCGATCTTATCATCACCGATGAACACAAGTACCATGGGATTTTGATCCACCATGCAATGCCATTTGGAAAGCGTCACTTTCCAGCATCACAACGACCCACACTGCATTAAAAGCATACCTAGATAGAAAACAACACAGTGGAAAACTATTCATGGACTGGCCTCCCCAGCATTACTGAAGGAGTGTGGGATCATCTCGACAGAGAGAAAACCAAATAGCAGCAGAACTCCAAGAAGCCTGGAGAGCTCATTTTAACTTCTAGATCCAGTATCCACCATGTTTCAGTGTTTGTTTGTTTATTCCATGGCAGAGCAGATTTGAAATATCAGATAGACCTTGGCAAACAGGTCTGTAAATGCTGCTGCATCAATCTGCTAGCAATTTCTTTATAAGTGTGCTTGAAGAAGCTAAGTGATTTTTTTTTATAAAGAAAAAGGAGGTAGCTATTGTTATTGGTGACTTTTACACCCCTTAAAACCTGTCACGTCTGGCAGCAGAATTAGAATGCGATGTTGTGCCGAAAAATTTCGATTTTCCAAGCATATAAATAATCTATAGGCTCCTCTTGTCCGTGTTTTTCCTTTTTCTGTTAATGTATCCATTGCTATTAGTGTAATTTCGGTTATTACAGTAAATGTATAGTATCAGTTGGCAGGCAGGGCAAAAAGGAATAGGGCGAAAACAGGAGAACATATAATATTATATTGTTATTAGTGTTGATTTGAAGAAAGTTTAGCAGAAGAAACTAACAATAAACTTTTAAAAAATATTAAAAATAACACTGAAGATATTTCCTATATATGACTCAATAGAAAAGATGATATTGTTGCAGTAGCGGGTTGATTTACAGCGATTGAGTGCATTATAACGAGGCCATTGTTTAGCCACCTGTTCTATAATTTATCAGGATGTGACAGAGGCAGCCACAGGGCGGTGGTAAGGAGAAGTCGCTGTGTTTCCGCTCGCGTTCCGTTTGTGAAGCTTTGCTGTGAAGCGTCAGCCCCCGGCAGCGGCCCCTTTAAGAAAGCAGCGCCGCACACTGACGAAATTTCCTCGGCCCTGCTCTCTCTGCCAGTCCGTGTAGATCGACAACAGACCGGAGCAGCGCCGGTATCTGCAAGCTCCGGGCCAACGGCGCTGGTCAGGAAAGCTCTCTCCAGGGAGAAGGAGGGGGGACACGCAACTGGTATTTTTTTTCCACTGTCTGCCTGC